ATAATCGTGAGGATGTTCCAGCAACCACTAAAGATTAGCAGCAGTCCAATAATTCTCGGAGTCAGTGTACTGTCGGTGTACTCACTGGGTCCGAAGATAAGGCATCAAGACTGGACTACGTTCTTACCGCCCAGTCCATTGGTGTACCCAACTTAATTACCATTAGCCCTCTTGAATAGAGTGTTCACGCGTTGGTTTTCTTCAACATTTCTACCCCTAAGCCACCTACGTTTGATCAATTACTAGTCAAGAATCAGAGTAAAACTGACCGCATAAAGATCAGGCAAGCGTAAGAGGGTTCCGTTTAACTAAATCTCGGCTATTCACTAGATGGGGACACCGGATGGGAACTGTTGAAGAACATGATAATTCTGATAATGAATAAAAGCACCCCCTTCGTTCTGCGAAGAATTAAAAAGCATTTTCCTATGCTGGCTTGGATCAAGTGATCATAAGCTCATTCGGCGTAAACCGTCGGTTTGGAATCAGCGGAGTGTTTCCTATAGCCCAAGGAACTTGAAAACTTACGAAGGCATTCATATCAATTGTACAGTAAGACTAAGAATCGGTAGAGTAAGCTACCAACCACGTCTGTGTGGAACGCCGGAGTGAGATCATGAGGAGTTGAATTCTCCGATGAAGAAAGAGGGTAGCGTTTAACTTAGCATGCAGGACGTTTTGATTTCAGCGATCCACCAGACTAGCTATAGATAGCTTACTTTTTACCTCAGGAATTTTATAGTCATTTATGTCTGGCAGAAGAGGCAAGCAAAAGTCAGGTAGTCGCTCATAATGCGAAGAGGTTAAGCGTTTTAGAACCGGAGCCTCTTGAAGTCATGAGAATCATCGAGAATCTTAAACCCTGTGAGTCCTCAGAGATTGACGTCACTAGCCCGACAGCCTTCATAGTGTACTCATCCTTTAGATGTCTCAGTGGTAAACGTCTTCAGACATTAATTTCTGGAAGGTCGATTGCCCTCTGACGAGCAACGATAGGCAGTCGTCGCAGTATATAAAGGTGGTGATAAACTACTTTAACTATAGGGTGGTTTTGATCTTTTCAGTTGCAAAGGTTATGGAAAAATGGTAGATGATTCACTTCGTGAGCATTTACTTAAGAACTCAAACCTTAGTAACTGTCGGAGCGAATACTTACCGAAAGTTCGCGCAACACAAACTTTTTGCTAGTGTGGAGTTTTCGGACTGTTTTTACTGATCCGAAAAAGCCCATTCACATGGGGCCACTTGACTTTTCTAGAGCCTTTGACGAGGCTTACCATGATACCTTGTACAAGAAGCTTCAGCTCACGTCGGTACATGGGAATTTACTCGCTTTCATCAGGGATTACCTCGTCAGCCAGTTACGGTCAGTCGGAGTTGGTCAGTCCCTATCTAAATAGTTTCCTACTCTGGATGGGGCTTCTCGGGGTTCCATTTCCTGTCCAACATTGTTCCTTGCTCCTAAGGATGACTTGCCAGCAAGCCCCCTATTCTCAATTCTCATTGTATGTTGATGATCTCAAGATTTCGAGTGGCGTGGGGTTAGGCGGATGCCTTGATCCTACAGGGGGACTCTTCTAAAGCCCTAAATTGGACGAGCAAAAAGTCACTCCTTATCACTCCGGAGAAGCGTGGGATAATGATCGTAATTCTAGCCGCTGCTCTCTAAAGGACGGGGAACGAATATTTCTCGCCCAAATAATACAAAAGATCTGGGGGTGACCCTAAGTGACACACTTTTAGCTTCTCTCTTTTGTCCCCTTGCAGCCAGTGGAACATATAGAGCCCTGAGGTTCTCGTCTAGTACTGTATGAAGTCTAACTCTGAGCCTTTTTGGTGCTGTACACAGATCATCCATTGGTCCTCAACTGGGAGAAAATTTGCCGACTATTCCTCTGGACTTGTAGAAGTACTTTGCCATCCTAGGAGTTAAGAGGGGGCTACGGGGAACGCTGGAACGCTTAGTAGCTGGCATGCTGCACTCTGCACAACACAGAGGAATCAGTTAAGATATTATTATGGTACATCATATCGCTTATAATCGTCTTCATACCAACCTTTAGGGGTCATACTATCAGGCTAGAACGTGAGAGAACACGTTCGATGGTCCTTGCTAATTCATTCACAGTAAGCATATGTAAACTGGGGGCCTCCATCTTAGAAGTTCCCATAGCCTCTTCTGATGCACTTAAGAGGAGGTTTGATACATACGTAGAGTCTTTCGTCCTAAAAGCCATGGATAGCAACACTACATAAATCAGGCCAATTAATTAGTCGATTGATTATATAAATAGAGCAAGAACATAGCTTTAGCAGAATAGCACGATGATAATTACATGATGACCGCTTATCTCTGTTCTTTCAAGTTTATGCTATCCGGGAAAAAAAGACCAAACTAAACGCTTAAGCATTTCATTAGGACAGATATGAAACCAGAACAACCACTGTTACATATATCTACGACCATAAACTGAACACTGCCCCTCCTACTCAGGCGAAAAACGTTCTGAAAAAAGCAGTTCTTGCTCCCACGACCTGTAACTCAGGGCGGAAGCCACCTGCATTTCACCACCAGCCCCGTTCGATCATCAAGAAAACTCCCACAGCTGGCACCTCAGGCCTTCCGAGTCACTCGCAAAAGGCCCATCACAAATCCAAGTCTGTATTCACAGGTTGGAATAAACTCCGAAGGACAGACCATTACCTTAATCTTAGATCGCTCATACTCTGCAACGTTCAAGAAAGTGGCTCCTCCCTACTGACTGATCGTGAAGAACATGACCTTGACCAATGGAAGAGTGTTTGCAAACTCCTAGGAACCTCTCCCCGCAGTCCATCTCTTCAACGCCTAGCGCGTAGTAGGTTCTCCCCCAAAGGCTCTCCTAGACCTTTAAGAGTATCTCTTGATAGTACACGTCAGTCCGAGGTGCACTAATATCCCTTTTGGCTGGCTAAATTATAAAGCCATCCGTAACAAATGTGCAGTAAGGATCAGAGATGACAGGATAAACCACCACGCACAACTTTGTAGAACCCTGGAGGGGAATCATAGGATACTGTACTCGTTGATGAAACAGAAGAGTAACAGTTCACTAAGTTTACAGGACCCCATTAGTTTGGAGATTCTGTATTCCAACTCCGAAGTTGCAAACCTACTAGCTCATGAGTTCCAAAACAACTGCCATTTGGGAGGCGAAACCCCGGCTGTGTCGGACACCCGTATCATAGAGGGACTAAATCATATACAGTTTAAACCCTCCGTAATTATGGAAATATTAAAGAAACCGAACCCGAATAAGTCTCCAGGAATCGATAGGATTCACCCAAGAGCACTCAGAGTGTGCTGGAGTTCTGTGTGCCCCATCAGCAAACCTATTCAAATGCTCGTTTCTGGAAGGCAGGTTACCCTCTGATTGGAAACGGGTGGCTGTCGTCTCAGTTTATAAAGGTGGAAACAAACTACTCGCCTCCAACTACAGACAGATCTCCCTGATCTCTTCAGTTGCGAAGGCCATGGAGAAAGTCATAAGTGACTCACTTCGTGATCACTTACTTCAGAAATCAATCCTAAATGACTGTCAGCATGGCTTTCTACCAGGAAGGTCATGTGACACCAACTTGTTGATAGCTCGGAATAGCTGGACACTCTCTGTCGAGAAGAAAAAGCCTATACATATTGGTTTACTTGACTTTTATAAAGCCTTTGACAGGGTAAATCATGATATCCTTTGTAAGAAACTCCAGCTCATGGGTGTACACGGAAAATTATTAATCTGGCTTAAAGATTATCTGTACACTTGGGTTAAGTCAGAGTTGGCTCCTCCCTATCTGATTGGTTCCCGATGCTGAGTGGTGTGCTCAAGGTTCCATACCGGGCCCACTACTGTTTCTTGCCTTTATCAATGATCTACCAAGGGTCCTTAATTCACATTCACTATTATATGCCGATGATCTGAAGATTTGGAGGGAAATACAGGAACCAACGGATATTTCGATCTTCCAGGAGGACCTTGCGAAAATCCTTAATTGGACTACGGAAAATCTGCCTCCTGTCAACTCGACGAAGTGTCGAATTATGATAGTTGACATACATAGAGGCAGTCCCACTTCTTACTCTCTAGGTGAAATAAATATCTGTCACTCTAACATGGGACCAGATCTGGGAGTTACACTAAATGATACACTAGAAGCCTCTGCTCGCTGTCGCCTTGCAGCCAATAGGGCTTATGGAATCCTGGGGTTTCGCTCTCGAACCTTAGGGTGTCTAACTCCTCTTTTCACCACAGTGTATGCTCCGTACGTTCGTCCTCATTTAGAAAAAAAATTCGCTTGTAATGCCCCCATACTTGAAAAAGGACACAGCCATCCTAGAACGGGTACAGAGGAGAGCTACAAGGAAAATGATTGGGTTACGGCACAAACCGTACCCAGACCGCTTAGTTGCTCCTCAGCTGCACCCGGTACAACACCGGAGGATCAGAGGGGATATGATGGTGATGTACCACATCGCCCATAATCCCATCCATGCCAACAGATCCCTTCTGAGCTTTAGTCGGAAACGCGACTTGAGGAGTCACCCGCTAGGAATAGAGCATGAGAGAGCACGTACAAAGATCCGTGCCAACTCATTTGTAGTTAGAGTCTGTAAACTGTGGAATTCCCTCCCTTCAGCAGTTGTTACAGCCCCATCACCTGATACCTTTAAAAGGAGGCTGGACGCACACCTCGAGTCCTACGGTACCGATGAGCTATACTCGAGAAGCTTTCCCCAGATCAGATGCAATAATACTAACTTGAGACCAGATTAATTAATTAATCGTATCTCTATCCTTTCAGGCTTTTCGGAACCGGGAAGATAATTATGCCCACTCCAAACTCAGAACGTATTCCAATAAGACAGACGTAGAACCCAAGGAACGGCAGTTCACTAATTTTACAACACGAAGTTTGAAGTTTGAAGTTTATGGTTAATTTGTTCTTACCGTATCAGGGGCATTCAGGTGCAATTGATTGTCAAGGTTACTTGGTTCAGACGTCAGGTGTAGTCGCTCTCAGTAATTTTATTGACTTCTCACGGCGACTCGGCAATATAGGTACAACCTTTTGTCAAGAACTTAGGGTTATTTTGTCGCGAAATACTTCATAACTATAATAATGTTTTAGAAACTTGTTTTTTCTATTATCCCTTATATCCCAGCCAGCATTAGCTTCGGGCGCACATTGTGAGTTTCGGGCTAAAACCGAGAATTTTACTTCAGGCGCATATCGAGCGACGCACGACATCCCCCAAATGTTCCAAACCTTCTCCCCGAAAGTGTCAAAAGTCATGAAGTGCTCCCTAAGTTTCTGCAATGCGCCCAAAGTGTCTGTAGTGCTCCCGAAGATTTGTAATAACCCATATCCCAAGTGATGAGAAGTTTTTATCCGTAATATTTTCATCTGAATATTTGACGCTTATGTGCTACATGTGCTCATGTTACAGGAGTCGATAAAATGTTAGCGGCCAAGTATTTGTGAGATTTAGGGGGAATGCCCAAAAGTTGCTAAGTGCGCCCGAAGTAGCTTCGGGTGAAACCCGAAAGTTCCAAAGGGCGCCCAAAGTAAAGGCTGGCTGGGATATATCCATTCCTCAAGATCGTTAACCTGGTACTCAGCTAGGCTGGATATTGTCGTTCGGATTTCAAAGACCTCAGAGCTTAGAAATATTATCAAAAGCCTAAGTGAGAAAGTTCAGAGGTGAGACCCCCCAACACTCAAGACAGACTCTAATCTCCTCGGAAAAACAAAGAACTGCAACAAAATCAGTTGTGGGGCTAAGGGGAAGGCATATCCTGAAAGACTAAAACACTTAAGTCTACTCACATTGTGTTATCGCAGGAAGAGGAGTGACCTTATTATGGCCTACAAGATCGCCCATCAGGCAAACCACGTAAACAAATTAACGTTGCCTACAACACAGCTGTCATCACGAGGAAACCACATTAGGATAGCACATCAGTGATTCAATAGCATCCTCAGGCCCATTTTTTCTCCCTGAGAGTACGTGCTTTATAAAAAACACATTCCATATAGGGAATGCCCTATCTCAACATATCGTCATAACCCCCTCAGTTGACTCATTCAATAGACGGTTAGACAGTCATGCCACTTCGCACGGTCTACCGCGGACGTACTCAGGAAGTCACCAGCCTCACTAGCCCACCCTTACCTCCCTTCTACCTAACACTCACTATGTCTCTCAATACACCCGCGTTACCTACTAATTCTTCTCTAGTAAATAGACCTACACTGTCTACTCTTACCTTTCGAGCAACTCACATACTCTTTCCTTTATTTTCTTTCCTTCCCCCTTTTCTCTCTTTTTCTCTTCCTTTTTCCTTTCTTTTTTCCCCTCTTTACCACTACCTTTCTAATCTCCTTCAGGTGCCTACACAGACAGGAGTTACGACAGTCCCCTAACCTTCCCAGGAACCCATAGCTCCCCAATCACTACAAATTGCAGCTTACTAACTCACACAACATCCATCTCACCGAAACTAAAAACAAGAAAGCAGAGGGGATTTCTTAGTCCACTGCAAAAGTGAACCGAACAACTCGAACCAAATCCTGAGAATCTACTACAACTGTGCTCAGATAACCGCTTTAGTTAGCATTAATTTGAAACAAAGAAAGACTGTGTGACGTGGCGTTTACCAAGCTCAACTCAGCCATCTACACAGATGGACCACATTGCTATCAGTCATAGCTGGAGAGGATTAATGAAAGACTGGAGTACGTGTTTGGCTAGCTACCACGCGTTGGTTCGAGCGCGTAAATGCTTTTATCTCAATGGGCGTCAGAAAAATTTAGCAAAAAAACCACTACAAGTGCAGTTATTGGAATAGAACACTATCACTCACCCAGAAGAAGCTTGGTGACATCTCCAGTCTGCTGTAAAAGTAGCGCTGAAGACCGTAGCCAACTCCGAAAGAGTGGCTGAAAAGAGCCAGTGGATATCAGCAGCTTCTTCCAAACTAATAAATGCACGTGAACGCATCCCTGCCTGCAGGTTATGAGTACAATGAAGAGCAAGCACAACTTAAAAGTAGACTGAGCAAAAGTCTACACAACAACCGCAAACAGTGGTGGGCAGTGAAGGCTAATGGGATGGAAAAGGCAGCGGCGATTGGTAACAGTAGCCAGTTACTTAGACTTATTGAGGAAACTGGAGGAAAAAGTTCAACAACCGTTAGTGAAACCATAGCAGAGAAGAACGGGTCCGCGATTCACTCACAGGGGAGACGATGGGAAGAACACTTCAAGGAACAGTTTAACTGGCCTCCAGCCACCATTGCCTTGCCTGTTATCCAGTCGAATCCTGAGTGGGACGCTGAGATAGGCCCCTCAACACTTACAGAAGTCGAGAAAGCTGTAGGCAACGTGAAACGAAGAAGGGTGTCAGGACCAGACGGACTGACTTCTGAGGTATACAAGGATGGTGGTAAGGTGCTCTTAGTCATGCTGACGGAAGTGTTAACCAGTATATAGGAATCAAATACAATCCCCTCCGACTAGTCTAAATCACTCATTATTCCAGTTTTCAATAAAGGCGAGAAGTCCTTTTGTCATAACCAAAGAGGAATCAGCCTGACAAACATAGTGTATAAGATTCTAGGTTCCATAATTCTTCGACGCTTAAGTTGACCTCGGGAACAGCAAGCCCTAGAAAACCAGGCAGGCTTTAGACCCGGCCGCGGATGTATTGACCAAATATTCACACTCCACCAGTCTCTGGAACATAGGCACGCTTACCGACGCCCGACAATAGCTTCATTTCTCGACCCTAAGGCGGCATTCGACTCCGTTGATCGAGAAGGCTTGTGGCAATGTCTCTCACTGAAGGGTGTGCCCACTAAGTACATCACCTTATTGAAGGCTCTCTACTCGAACAATTCCGGCCGTGTTAGAGCCTATGGTGAGATGTCCGGGGAGCTGTACCCGTCGAGTGGTGTCCGTCAATAATGCCAACCGTCTCCATTCTTATTAGATTTTATCACAGATATTCTTATGGAGGTCTCCCTCTCGTCACCTAACTACACAGAGATTGACCTGATCGCAGCAGAATTTCCGTTGGACATAGAATACGCAGATGACATAGTCCTGTTCGGTGAAGACCGTGGCAAGATGCAGAGTCTTCTGGATACCTTGAGTGGCAATTTGAAAATGTTTAGGATGCCCTTTTCACCACTCAAATGCAAATTAATGCTCCAGGATTGGTCTTCAATGGTGCCTCGGCTAACAATAGAGAGTGAAGTTGTTGAGTGTGTTGATCACTTCACTTACCTGGGAAGTGGGATCAACCCTGGTAGGTCAGTGGCCGATGAAATCTCTGCACTAGTGCAACAGGCTTGGCTGGCTTTTGCCAACTTACACCACCTGTGACTCCACCGTGATATCCGATTGTCTATTAATGGTCGCATGTATTCCACAGCAGTCCGCTCTGTTCTGTTGTATGGCTGTGAAACGTGGCCGTTGAAGGTGGAAGACATGAGAAGGCTGGCTTCAGGTGTTTGACCACCATTGCCTTCGTAGTATAGGCCGTATTCCGTGGTGTCACCACATGAGTAGCGCAAATGTCGGGCGTAGAGTTGTAGGGAGAAGAGGTAAATCAGTTGACATGGTTGTGAACCTTCATCGACTGAGATGGTTGGGACACGTGTTACGTATGCGTAGTTGCCATATGCCTGGTCACACAATGTTGGCCGGAGTAGGTTCCAGCTGGAAAAAGGCTCGAGGTGGCCAGACTAAAACATGACATGAATGTATGAAGTTTTTGACTGTTGGTTTGAGCCATATGAGGCTATGCAGACTAGGTGGTTGGAGTCGGTGGGACAAGAGAAACGAGTGTTGTGAGACTAGGTGATGACATGGCTGAGAACTGATGTCAGTGGTACAGATGTGTGTATACTTGCATTGTCATCATCTTAACGCTATACTGAATCTCACCATCTTCCTATTTTTGTTTTCTCTCTTTTAGTACTTTACATTTGTTTTGACTGAATTTTCTTTTCTTCGTCTTCCACTTCACTGCCTTTTTATTTGATGTACTGATATGAGGTGTGGCAACTGTGACTGTTACGCAATAATGCCTCGTCCTATGTTGATAGATGATGATGAAGCCCTCAGAACTATACGTGAGAGATCAAAAACTATCAGCTTTCTACTCTCGCACTATCAATTTTGGATATTGTAGCCACACAAGAGGTCGTCGGGATGCAACAAAAACCATATAAGGATAGACTGAAAGACTTACGCCTATACTCTCTTAGTTACCGAAGGTTACGAGGTGACTTGACAATGGCTTACAAAATTCTGAATAGGTCACCCGAACATAGGAATACTGCAGAACAGCCACTATGGTGATCCTCATGGAAACCCTGAGAGAATCGCTTACCACAGGTCAAAAACTCGTGTGCGCTTACACTTTTTCTCTTTCCAAGTCTGTGAGCACCGAAATGCATTAACAACAGAGGTAGTCTCTGCCCTATCTGTTGAAAATTCTAAGAAAGGCCTGGACAATCACACAGAGACTCATAGTCTACCCACACGTAATTGGAATACGGACTAAACCGAAGAAATCAACTGCTATCATACTATTCTAACTATATTACCTCTTTCCACTGTGATCATTTAAGCCCTTTTCATCCCTTTCATTCGCTATGAGTTAGCCTCACCTACCTAAGTTCTTCATATCTTTGCACCCCCCATACCTTACTTGTGTGTAATTAGATCACTCCATTAGTTCACTTTTCTTTGCCTTTCACTGACACATTTATCTTTCTAGGTTTCCTCCTCTCTATCTCTAACTGTGTCTAACGACGAGTTCGAACAAGTGTCTGGCAACTCGACATTTGAAGAACCTAACTGCACCATAGTCCCCTATGATGGGGGCTTCCCCTCTAATTTTCGCACTATCATTGTCTTCCTCCTTCTTTAGTCCGTAGAAAAGAATGCTTCCACTCAACATTTTTGTCAGCCCAAGTAGGGCGATATTGGGTCTCAAACCACAAAAAACGTTGGGCTAGGTAAAGGGTTTCGCAACATTTTCCTTACCTCTGGACTTATGGTTTCTGGCTCTGCATTTGACCCCGTTTGGCATATTTGGCCCTACATCTAACCTTAAATATTTAAAAATGGCCCGGAGTCTGGCCACATGCACTAATCATTGGCCCTGCCAGCAGCTCCGCTGGCCTGACTAGAGCAGTGGCCAAATGTTTGGCCCCGTGTGCACTACATATGGCTCAGCGTTGTCCTATTTGGCCCGATAAAATTGTTGACTGGGTCTGCCAACCTTGGAACAGTCATTCAGAAATTATTCGAATGCTTTACAATTTTCTTGAGTATCGAGGCTATAACAGTTTGTGCTTTATATTGCGAGCAAAATAATGCACACTTCGATTGCTTACCAAACTAGAGTCGAAGAAATTCGTCAGGGTTTGGAAATCAAAGCAAACAAACTTAGAGGAAATCATAGCAAGTAAAACAGAAGCGTGCATACACTTTTTCACGCTTTCAAAGATATCATTATATTTCCAGGTAGTCCTCAACACCAATTAATCTAAGATGAATCAGCACTAAGAATTAGAGATGAACGGAAAGTTGTTTATTTACCAAGCTCCAGACATCCCTAACTCGAATTTAAATCCAATAGCGACTGACAAGATCAACGTACAACATCGCACACAAGTTCATCAGCTCAGTTTGCCAAACTTCACAGTACTGTACAAGCAACAGGTGAATAGAAAAAGAGTGATACCAAAGTTCATCTATCCAACATACGATGGGGCATTATTGCGTAACAGTCACAGTTGCCACACCTCATATCAGTACATCAAATAAAAAGGCAGTGAAGTGGAAGACGAAAAAAAGAAAATTCAGTCAAAACAAATGTAAAGTACTAAAAGAGAGAAAACAAAAATAGGAAGATGGTGAGATTCAGTATAGCGTTAAGATGATGACAATGCAAGTATACACACATCTGTACCACTGACATCAGTTCTCAGCCATGTCATCACCTAGTCTCACAACACTCGTTTCTCTTGTCCCACCGACTCCAACCACCTAGTCTGCATAGCCTCATATGGCTCAAACCAACAGTCAAAAACTTCATACATTCATGTCATGTTTTAGTCTGGCCACCTCGAGCCTTTTTCCAGCTGGAACCTACTCCGGCCAACATTGTGTGACCAGGCATATGGCAACTACGCATACGTAACACGTGTCCCAACCATCTCAGTCGATGAAGGTTCACAACCATGTCAACTGATTTACCTCTTCTCCCTACAACTCTACGCCCGACATTTGCGCTACTCATGTGGTGACACCACGGAATACGGCCTATACTACGAAGGCAATGGTGGTCAAACACCTGAAGCCAGCCTTCTCATGTCTTCCACCTTCAACGGCCACGTTTCACAGCCATACAACAGAACAGAGCGGACTGCTGTGGAATACATGCGACCATTAATAGACAATCGGATATCACGGTGGAGTCACAGGTGGTGTAAGTTGGCAAAAGCCAGCCAAGCCTGTTGCACTAGTGCAGAGATTTCATCGGCCACTGACCTACCAGGGTTGATCCCACTTCCCAGGTAAGTGAAGTGATCAACACACTCAACAACTTCACTCTCTATTGTTAGCCGAGGCACCATTGAAGACCAATCCTGGAGCGACAATCTGCATACCAAAGTAGATAGAGCTGTGTAGGAAAATAAAATAATCTAACGATTACAGTTAGTGCGAATATTCAAGCTTAAGACAACATCAAGGAGTGAATACATCTGAGCCATTGTTGCCGATTTTCACCCATATCACCAGGAGTCTTCAACCACTGATTACTATCATCTCGCAAACCTTAGTCAGGCACTCTACATCTACCCACATAACTCAGACCAACAGTCAGAAACTTCATCGACTGGTGCCACGTCTTGGTCTGTCTACCCTAAACCTTCTTGCAGCCTAATCGAGCTTCGTCGAGCATGCCATGTCCATGTAGGTATTAACTCGGCATACGCAACACATGTCCAAGTCACCTCAGTCGATGAAGTTTTACCGATTTCATCGACTGACTTCCCCGTCTTATCTAGTACCCCTCGCCTGACCTCAACACAGCTCACACTGCGATTCCACTAGACGCAAGTAATGCTACGAAGACACCTATGATCAAAACTGTGTACCCACTTCATGTTTTCTACTTTTAACGGCTATTTCTCACAGTTGTAAAATAGGATGGGACGGACTGCAGTGTAGTATACTCGTCTTTCAGTAGATAGTCGGATATCTCGGCAGTTGGTGCTAGAGATGATGCACGTTGGCGGATCCCGAACGGACCTTCTTTATCCAAGCTGAAATTTAGGTTTTCTGTACAGGTCTGTCGTGTTCATGAAAATGACTGTAGCTGTCATGCTTAATTGGGTAGCAGTAGGTAAACAAAGTCGTATTATACACAAAGCTTGTTTTGTGCAAAGAATAAATTAAACGTGCTCGTTGGAGACATTTCTTCAGATTGGCATATTTTAAGTTGATGAGTTTAAGTAAAGTTAGGATTTTGATCTGCGGTCTTCAGAAAAATTCGGGAGGACTTATTTCATTAAGCAGACCTATCTTAGTGTCTGCTATCTACTGGAATAGTTTGACAGCAAGGTTTCTGAGCGATAAGCATTGGAATATCCCAAGGAACATGATCTGAACTGAAATCGAAGTTCCACCTTACTGACACAGGCAAACAGTCACAAAACTTTACTGGTGAGTGACTTTAAATACTGTTTACTACGAGATCATTTCACTTAGCCGTTTGTTTTGCAAAGTTCAGTCGACCAACTACCAAGACTAGACTAATGCATTTCTTACCAGTTCTTGATTTGCTTATTACGTAAGTGTAAATGTCTAATTATTTATTCTGTCAACTGACTCACAAACACGAAGTTATTTTCTGTTATGCATCAGAAGTGTTATGAAGTTTATTTTCGTTGATCAGACGGACTCTTTGTAGCTGTTGTTTAGCTTTGTGGGTCACACAACTGTGAAGATAGTTAAGTTTGTATTTCGTGAATGGACCTATTCACCTGACTAACTAGTCCACAACCATCTTGTTTGTTTATGCTTCTGATAGCCTTCTAGGCATATCTTACAGACTTCGTTTTTTTTAAATGCTGTTCTTAGTGTTGAATTATTGTATTATCATGGGTTAAATATTTTAGATCGGTCCTGTTTAAACTACAAATGATTTCAAAGTATCTTTGGTTTATTTTATACCTTGTCCTACATACTCAATGTATTGAAGCTGATGTAAGTTTAATAAAGACTAATTATTAATCGAGAAAATATTTTAGGTAGTTACAAATTATACATCCTGTGGAAACCTGAGTTTATATACAATATCGTATCAAAATGAAACGAACACATTATGGTACTTGATATCGGCTCATAGCCACCACCCACCTTCTGTAATCATGGTGCAAACTACTGGAAATTCGCATGTCAGTGTGAATTGCTCAGCATACAATGGTAGTGTTGCACTTAAATATCGAAACTCAATCTCAATCAACAATGCTCTTCAATCGTATGGATGGATCTTGCACAGGGTTTGGAAATCGTTTTGATTTAATTTGCCTGATTAGATAATCCGTTACAATGATTCAGATGACCATGCGGTTGTTCCTGACGACTCTACTTCTATTGAGACATTTTTAGGAAGTAATTTAGACTGGAACATGACATCATTTGGTCGCGTGACTGATGATTCAGTTCATATCGAATTTCAGGCCAAGAATTCTCTAGATAGTCATGAAAAGATTAATGGTGTTATCAAGTTGATTGTAAGTTACATAAGTGTTTTTTTCCTGTCAGTTGTGTATATGTATAGCAAAATTATTAACCGTAGTTTCTCATTTTCTGATGTGTTACAATCTAGGTTTATCTCTGTTGTCTAGTCTTAAAAAAGTGACAGTAGTAATCAGGGTATCTAAATGATAACATGTCTTACTGTAAGACCAACTGACATGAGTTAGAACTAGTGTTGAAAATTTGTAAATACGTTAATGATTGTGGAACGTAGATAGACAGCGTTTCTCAGCAACTAGTAAAAATGATTCACAAATCATATGCTGTCATTTAGAATTTGGAAAAGCTTTTATTCCGTTATTTCACTGTACACCCACCAAATTAGATCACATTACTGATTCCTTTGCTAAAATTATCGCTTAGCTTCGTTGATACAGGTTATCCTCCCGAAACGCTCGCAAAGTTCCACTCCAGTTACCTATCTGATTTCTTTTTATTGTTCCTAGTGTGCACGTATTTGATAACTCATTAAGCTTTTAACGCATATTCGCATATCCAGTTATGAAACGTGGCTAGTTTCATTATAAGCTCCCTATTTCTTCCATACATTTGTGTGAAGCATCAAAGGAGCCTTTGTATTTTTAAGAGTTGTTCGCATACGATCTAGAGAGTTGCAGAGACCAACACCTAACTATTTGTACTTGTCGGATACCTATAAGTGTGAGACCAACAATGAATACAATAAGATAGTCATGTAAGAATCGCATATTTGATAAATCGTGCCAATATGCTGAGACGTGTGAGCTAGCTAGCTATGGGCTCGTGAACGAACAACCCAAAGTATTATGGCAACGAACCGTATGATATGAATGATTGATCATGTGTCTTGAAAAGTTCGTTAAAACTATAGAGGTCAGCATCAATGTTGAGTATTTTCAAACTTTAAGCTGTTGATTCTCAGGAATTGTTTATGGGTACGCATAAATATCTACCTTACATATAACCTATACGCCTATTAGCTATAAATCTCAGTGCAGCAGTGAAATAGCTGGTTTACGTTAAATCACACAAATTGGTTATCAGAAAGAAAAACCAGTAAAGGAAGTAAATATGATCAGTTATTTGGGTGAAATATGTGAATCTTTACTGTAGTTGATGCGTGGTCACTCATCCAATTCTTCATTTCTCAATTTCAGCAATCTTGTGAACATTTCTACGCCACTAAAAGTCTTTAACTAGACTTGAAAACCCCTTGCTTGTTGCTGTGTGGATCAATGCTGTACATTGATTCATTTCTTCCTGCTGCAGAAAACAATGCCACTCATCCAGAAGGCGCTCGATCCCATCTATCTGCTGTAAAAACAGCGCTAAAGATCATAATTCACAAAAAGTTCAAAAAGCACCAGTTGATCTCAACAGTATCTTCAGAATTAATCCATGCACCTGAACTTATCCCTGCAGGCAACAAACACGAAGAGGAGAGGAAACAACTGTAATGTAGACTGATAAAGAATAACCAGGAGGACTGGTGATTGGCGAAGGCTAGAGAAATGGAAGAGGTGACGGCGATATGTAACAGCAAACAGCTATTTGACGTGATCAAGGGAACTGGGGCAAAATGTCAATGGTCAGTGAGAGTAAAACATGGAAGGATTAGTTTGCTATTTACTTGCAGGAGAGATGACTGTAACGATGAGTGGGATACGTGGAGGAACAGTCGAACTGGCCTCCAGCTACTATCACGTTGCCTGTGACCCAGTAATTGGAGACAGATGTGATCCGCTTTGTCTTGCACATACTCATGATTGTTTGTATCTGGAATTGACGTTGTGAGCGTGGGATCCTTAGTAGACTTAGAGTATAGAGACGACACATTCGTGTCAGGTGAGTACGCTGCCGAGGTGTAGAGTTGTCTAGATACTGAAAGACAATTCGAGGATTTTAAGGATGCGTTCGTTGTCGCCAAATGCGAATTGTTGTTTTTGGAGTTGTGTTGATGGGAGAGTTGTTTGACGATAGGGAGTGAAGTGATTGAGCGCGTTGATGACTTTTCTTACTTATTTATTAAGTGTGATGAGTGAGTGAGTGACTGGTGATATGTGTGTATGGATGGAGAAGGTCGACTTGGCTTTCACGGAATGATGTCATTTATTGTGCCGCTGTGATATCTGACTTCTTGTGGAGGAGGGATTGTAGTGCAGTGAAGTTCTGTATTTTCTACCAATTGAGTGTGAAGAATGTTGATTGAAGGGTTGGTGTGTCTGATGACCACTTGCTTTGTAGGATATTGTGTGTCATGGTGGGACCGATGGAGTGAGGTGGTAGAGGTGGGGCGTAGCGTTTTAGGTAGAGAAGGAATGTTAGTTGGCGAGTGTGTAAACCATCGTCAACTTAGATGTGTGAGAAATGTGAAACATGTTTATACACGGTTTGCTTTGTTGGCCAATGTCAAGATTGAATGGTGAGAAGATGGTCGGGTCGGGCAGACTGAAGCATGCTTGTTTGTGTTCATGAAATCTCTGAGTGTTAATCTGAGCTGTATACATAAGTGTAGACTTTCTGATGGTGTTTGTGTGACAACAGAAATCAGTATTTGGATACTCTATGTGATGTGGTTCAGAATTGGTCTCAGTGGTGCAGATTTATCCACGTATTATCTCTGTCTTAATCCCCCAACTGAATTCCAGTACTGTGTTATTCCTGCTTGTTCTCTTTATCTCGAGTTTCTCCTTTCGACTGCTTTCTTTCTCATTTCTTTACTTTGGTTTTCGTACTTTGTTGCTTGATGTGGAGATATGAAGTGAGGCAACTTGGATCGTCTTCGACTTCGTATGTTGACATTTTCTCCATCTACCGTACTTTTGCAGTAACCTTTTGTGGTTGACTATGTATAACTTCAAGCCTACCATAGGCTTTGTTTACTTTTCTGGAGATCAGTAAAAGAGCTTTGACAACATTTATCCATAACATAAAATGTATCTTTCTTGACGGTATTCGATGGTTACATTGCACTCTTGTTTCTGGAGAATTAGTCAATGACTCATTAATTCTACAGTCAACTTTCAAGGATTTCAAATTATACTGCTCCAGCTTTTGAAGTCTGTCTTAGCAAACCTTTAGGATTATTAGCCTTCACACTAAATGTTGCGTATTGCTTACTGCATAAAAGTGAGTTTGGTTGGTGTATTGGATTGCACTTTTTGGAATTTTTTTTCATTTGATGGAGTGATTGTTGTAACTATTTTCTGTACAGTTAAATGCAGCTTTTCAAGCATCTTGTACTTCCTAGATTGGATTTTGGGGAAACATATGGCCAACATGTGAAAAACGTGTTCACTTCATTTAGTGTATTGCTTTTATTTATCTGAAATAAAGATAAGTAGTCGTATTTCAGGTTAGCCTTTACTACATGCAAACTAACCTGTTATAATTTACCTGGTTGTGGCTGATAGAAGAATCCAGGACGCGTGTTTCGTCCTGTTTGAGACTCGTCAGTTGAACATACCTCCACCTCAGTCAGTGGTCTTGTACCCACTGAGACTCGAACCTCGTACCTATCCCTTCAAACATCAAAGCGTTATCGAATTCGATGCATTATAACAACGGAGAATCACAAGTACATCAAAATGTCGTAGTAACCCGATATATGTAAATGAACTCAGGATTTCAAGGAGTAGCAATAGATTGAATATCCAGTCTATTTCCAGCATTATTCACTTCATTTAACGTCATACTATGTCATTATTTATTGCTACCCCTGAGAAGTTATAATTTTTCACTGAACTCTTAGTAGTATCATCTTAGGAACGACTCTTGTCAGAAAAAAAGAGAACTGAGTTGCTAAGCCACATCGTGAGCTTACTGAAATTATACGACGTCAACTACTGGATTCCTAGTTTAATGATGAGGAGTGAAATGGTGCAATGTGTCGAACACTTCACTTACTTGGGAGGTTACATCAGCCCGAACAAGTTGGTTGCTGACAAAATTTCAGCTCGGATGAAGAAGGTCCGTTCGGGATCCGCCAACGTGCATCATCTCTAGCACCAACTGCCGAGATATCCGACTATCTACTGAAAGACGAGTATACTACACTGCAGTCCGTCCCATCCTATTTTACAACTGTGAGAAATAGCCGTTAAAAGTAGAAAACATGAAGTGGGTACACAGTTTTGATCATAGGTGTCTTCGTAGCATTACTTGCGTCTAGTGGAATCGCAGTGTGAGCTGTGTTGAGGTCAGGCGAGGGGTACTAGATAAGACGGGGAAGTCAGTCGATGAAATCGGTAAAACTTCATCGACTGAGGTGACTTGGACATGTGTTGCGTATGCCGAGTTAATACCTACATGGACATGGCATGCTCGACGAAGCTCGATTAGGCTGCAAGAAGGTTTAGGGTAGACAGACCAAGACGTGGCACCAGTCGATGAAGTTTCTGACTGTTGGTCTGAGTTATGTGGGTAGATGTAGAGTGCCTGACTAAGGTTTGCGAGATGATAGTAATCAGTGGTTGAAGACTCCTGGTGATATGGGTGAAAATCGGCAACAATGGCTCAGATGTATTCACTCCTTGATGTTGTCTTAAGCTTGAATATTCGCACTAACTGTAATCGTTAGATTATTTTATTTTCCTACACAGCTCTATCTACTTTGGTATGCAGATTGTCGCTCCAGGATTGGTCTTCAATGGTGCCTCGGCTAACAATAGAGAGTGAAGTTGTTGAGTGTGTTGATCACTTCACTTACCTGGGAAGTGGGATCAACCCTGGTAGGTCAGTGGCCGATGAAATCTCTGCACTAGTGCAACAGGCTTGGCTGGCTTTTGCCAACTTACACCACCTGTGACTCCACCGTGATATCCGATTGTCTATTAATGGTCGCATGTATTCCACAGCAGTCCGCTCTGTTCTGTTGTATGGCTGTGAAACGTGGCCGTTGAAGGTGGAAGACATGAGAAGGCTGGCTTCAGGTGTTTGACCACCATTGCCTTCGTAGTATAGGCCGTATTCCGTGGTGTCACCACATGAGTAGCGCAAATGTCGGGCGTAGAGTTGTAGGGAGAAGAGGTAAATCAGTTGACATGGTTGTGAACCTTCATCGACTGAGATGGTTGGGACACGTGTTACGTATGCGTAGTTGCCATATGCCTGGTCACACAATGTTGGCCGGAGTAGGTTCCAGCTGGAAAAAGGCTCGAGGTGGCCAGACTAAAACATGACATGAATGTATGAAGTTTTTGACTGTTGGTTTGAGCCATATGAGGCTATGCAGACTAGGTGGTTGGAGTCGGTGGGACAAGAGAAACGAGTGTTGTGAGACTAGGTGATGACATGGCTGAGAACTGATGTCAGTGGTACAGATGTGTGTATACTTGCATTGTCATCATCTTAACGCTATACTGAATCTCACCATCTTCCTATTTTTGTTTTCTCTCTTTTAGTACTTTACATTTGTTTTGACTGAATTTTCTTTTTTTCGTCTTCCACTTCACTGCCTTTTTATTTGATGTACTGATATGAGGTGTGGCAACTGTGACTGTTACGCAATAATGCCCCATCGTATGTTGGATAGATGAACTTTGGTATCACTCTTTTTCTATTCACCTGTTGCTTGTACAGTACTGTGAAGTTTGGCAAACTGAGCTGATGAACTTGTGTGCGATGTTGTACGTTGATCTTGTCAGTCGCTATTGGATTTAAATTCGAGTTAGGGATGTCTGGAGCTTGGTAAATAAAACAACTTTCCGTTCATCTCTAATTCTTAGTGCTGATTCATCTTAGATTAATTGGTGTTGAGGACTACCTGCAAATATAATGATATATTTGAAAGCGTGAAAAATTGTATGAACGCTTCTATCTTTAATTTTTTCCTTCAGTTTAGGGTGTATGAAACTCGATTGCGACCGCCCTATGCTTTATACTATCACATTGAGAATTCTTTGAGTATTAGCGCTGAATTGATATTAGACGCAGTTCAAGTGAATAATCGTGTACAAAGATTTTCACCTGTTTTCTTGGTATTTTCTAATCATTCGATGGAAGATAATGAAGACTTCTTAGAAAAACAAGCAATCCAAGAGAATGAGGAAGATGGTCCTCTTGGTCGACTGAAGGTTTGTAGTCATTAATATTTTTGGTTTTTTCACGTTTATATTAACCTTCTATCAAGTTCAAGCCAGCTGGTTCCATACACGTGACTATTACCTGTCTGACCACAGACTTGTGCCTTACCACTAAGGTTTAGACAACAAAGGTTTCTGTAGAGTTGACACAGTAAGCGGCTGATATTGAAAGTCTATTCAAGTACGTTGTGTGCTTACTGGCTCTCTCTCTCTCTCTCTCTATATATATATATATATATATATATATATATATATATATATATACCATTATTATTATTATTTGTTCTTTAGGTTCCCAGTGGGACATCGTCATTTCACTCTCTTCTCTGCAGTCTTTTGAACCTGGCTTCATAACTGCCCAGAAGCTTTCATTTCTTCCTCACACTGTCTCCTCCATGACACCCTCAGCTGGGATCCCCAGCTCATCGTTTCCCATTTGACTTCCACTCGATGACCTGGCCTGGCACGAGATGTCCCCAAATGGTCTTCTCAGTATATGTCCAATCTAACCCATCTCCACTTTCTTCTATGCGTGTTTGTTGGGCGATGGGTTCTTGATTGGTTGCTTCGTTGCCAGCCAGAGTTCCTTGTTGCTTATTTTTTCTGGCCATTTGATCTTCAATATCGAGTGAGCGTGGGCGGCAGCTGTTGATGCACATCTTCAATTTGTTTGGTATGCCCTTCGTATCGCACCGTCTCTGAACTATATGGAAGCACTGAATTACTTGACATTAGCGTTGAAAATCCGGATCTTCTTCTTAATGTTGACTTGAGGATAGTAGATCTCCACACTGAATTCAGGTTAATGAAGACCTCTCTTTCTGTCTTTCCGATCCTGGCTTTGACATCCTCATCTGTGCCGGCTGTATTTGAAACGATGCTGCCTTGCCTGGGGAGGTTTCTCCCGTTAATGGTGATTAGTGCTTGTTGTTGTTGATTGGTTACCTTCATCACCTCTGTCTTCTCTGTGTTCACCTGAAGGAAGTCCTGTCTTTGCTGCCTCACCTCGACTCTTCTGCCAACTTGTTAGTTTTCGCCTGTAGATCTTCGATTTTGTGCAGAATTAGACATAAATCATCATCTGTGAAATCCAACTCTTCTAGGGGCTTTTCATCGGCCCAGCCAGCGTATGCCCCTCTTCTTGCTCCTCACAGTTTGTTGCATGATCCAGTCGACCACAATCAGGAAGATCATTGGTGATCGATAGTAAGCAGCCTTGTCTTACTCCTGTCTTCACTTGAAAGGTATTGCTGTGCTTTCCATTGTGAATCACTTGGCGTATAGAACCATTTCAGCCAATCATTCATTTGAAGAGTGACCTTTGATTAATATTTCTGTTTCCATATTCGATTTGTTTATTCGATTTATAACACACAGTGATACAAGGTTATTTACTTGATGACGTTTCGACCATAAATTATTGCTCTTCCTTGGATTACAGGATCTAGCAGAGGACAGATGGTGGTTTAGATACTACCGTCTACAGAAAATCAACACATTGTAACAGGTGTCTAGACTTCAAGTCATCTCATCTAATGTCAACCACACAACTGGGTGGATGGGATAAAACTATTGTAATTAGAGGGATAAAGAGGGGGATTGATTACTGAATCTTTGTTCATTGAATCAACACCCAACACACGTGTAATAGGAATGACGTAACACCTATGTGAAAAACTTTACTACCAATAAAAACAAAGAATATGAGATGACAGGACTATGAAAAGGAGATGTCACAGTCTAAACCAGCCTAATTACATTGATATGATTATGAGCAGTGATAATTTATGCTGGAAACGTCATCATCAAGTAAATAATACTAGATCATCACTGTGTGTTATAAATCAAATAAACAAATCTAATATGGAATTAAATTCTACCGAAGTGCCCAAGTTTTTACACTTATATTAATATTTCTGTTTCTTGGAACTTAGTTTAAATTTTAAAATGCTGGGAACAACATTGTTCCCTGGGAAGAAGGTAACATTCAGCTGATGAATTCTAAATATAGAAGAAATGCACTTTCATGATTCTACTGCTAGTGGCTATCCAATATTACTATCAGATAATTTACTCTGTTTATTTCATTATTTTATTTATTGAGTTGCAATCCAAATACTTCGATAGTGTAGTATCTTTATAACTTTTATGTTCAACCAACGGATATGTGTGTGAATAACATAAGAATGACTTCATTTCTTTTAAGGCTAAGAAATATTTTTGTTTTTTTGAAGTATATATCCTGTTCCATTAGTTAAATTGAACAATGCATTAATCAGGAGAGCGATTCATTGAACATTCTGAATTCCATTAGTTAGTTATCATCAGTTGCACATAATTTAATCCACTGCTAACCACTGCCCATCATTACTATACATAGTTAAAAGAGAGGCAATATCGAGGCATTCGCATAGGAGCCCATATGCCAAGAGAGACTGATCAATTCGGTCCAGTCAGTGACGGTGTACCTTATTGATTTCACATAGATAAGCCTCTCCCGTCTACAATTTTGACAGACTTATCTCGAGAAAAGAGTTATTAGGTTGACTTTAAAAATCACCCTAGCAACTGTTGAGATAACTAATCACTTTCTTCAATTCTATAAAATTCTGATATTTGATTGCTTTTAAAGTCAATCAACTTGTTAATTAACTAGCAGTTAAATTTGTTACAAGTTGATTTGTAGTTAGAATAATTACACCGTTGTATTTGGTTTATTTGTTGTATGAATCTGATATCATAAGTCAACTTTGTTGTACAATCTCCTATCCAATAGAACAGTTGATGAGTGATCTCTACAACAAAGTGTTGAGAGAATACCAAACCATATATCAAATAAAGAAAATAGTTTTAAAAAAGAAGGTAAGCAGCAATCATTATTTAATTCGACTTTATCGCATATCGTGCATTGATTGGAATCAGTGGGATTTAAAGTTGTTTACTGAATGATTATATCATCACTAAGACAAGCTATAAAAAGCGTTAATTTAATCTGTTCAATAATTGAAGATGCACAGTATAGGCAAGTCATTGATTTTCGACTCATCACTAGCTATCAAGTTTTTTAGTTCTCCATGTAGACATTTTCAACGTTTAATTGATATCTAACTTGCCACCTTTGTATATGAAAGAAGTTTATTTGATGCCACACACAGTGAAAGGATATTATTTATTGGATCTCGTAAATAATGCTGTCACACTGTGTGTTACATCAAAGAAACTTATTCAATATGGAACTAACCATCTAGTTGTTAGTTGGTCGAAGGTAAGCAGCAGGTGACCCTGGACCTAGATTTCGTGCTTTTTGGCACTCGTCAGCAAGGCGTATTTGCAACCACGATGGGAGTGATGTCCCGCCTGGGATTCGAACCCACGTCACCCAGTGTTGCAGTCAACTACTTTACCACCGAGCTATTCGAGCCGCGATTGACCTCCTGTAGGACTGGCTTACATGTATTGATTGGTCACGGGAGTGCAACCAATTTTATGTTGTCTAGTCCTAAGTGCACATTGCAGATATGATGAGTAGGATTCGGTCTGTACTCAGGACTAGACAACATGAAATTGATTACACTCCCGTAACCAATCAATAACTACTTAGTTGAAATTCATCTTCAGACCAAGACATGAAATCAGTCGATGAAGTCTCTAACTGTTGATCTAAGTCGTGTGTAGAGATGTAGACTACCTGGTTAGAGAGGTCTTTAAGATACAAGGGATCAATGGTTGAGGATTCTTGGTAAATATGACTGAAATCGGTCATAATGACTCAGATGTATCCACTTCTTGACTTCTTTTAAATCTTGAATATTTTCACTAACAAACAAAACTTTGCCTACTTTGATATCACTTTTTCTATCCACCTATTCTTTGTGAACTGTTGTAAAGTTTGGCAAATTGAGCCGTTGCAATTATGTACGAGGTCTTATATTGATTTTGTCAATGTCAGTTAGTCAGTTTTAAATGATACATTTTATTGTTATTATTATTATTATTATTATTATTATTATTATTATTATTATTTTCAATGGATTCATCCGTTTTATTTTGTTCATTTTTAGTCAACGTTTATTCAGTTAGGCTCACGGGTATCTAAGAGTAATGGTCATGTACAGGATATTTGGCCTAGTGCTTATATACAATTCCCTCCAGCATTATGGACTGATAAAGATAAGAAAACAGCTCAAATGGTTCGACTTGGCTCACGATGTGTATTTGATAAACATTTAAAAACTCATTCTTATCATTTCAGTCTACCATTTGCTTTATATGGTGGAAGATTTGAGCAACTTCACGATCAGTCAATGAATTCGCATGTTGCAGCACGAGAGCAAATTGTTAATTTAGGTAGTCCTAATGCACCATATTATATAGATAGTAATTATTCAGCCTGGTAAGTTGTTTAGTTATTGTGTTATTCTGTTAACATTTATCTTGCATTTAGTGGAGTAGCAGCCTTCAGTTATCAGTTACAAAAAAGTGCTTACATACATGCACTAGTTAATGTGTAAGACTAGAAATTCTTTCGCTGTGTAACCCTAGTACAATTTAGAAATAATGCAAACTATTAGTAGCTCAAATGGATAACCTTAACTGACTTTGCTGCATTGTATGTGTTGAATAGTTTAGTTATAGGGAGTTTCAATGTCTTCCTGGACAATATCATTAGCACACAGTTGAATATGAACCCACCAAACTTTCGTATTCATGTCTAATAGAACTTATTGATCCATGTCTAAAAACACACTTCCAGTTCTGTGGTCATAAGTATAAATAGATGAAAAGAACTCCAATGAGGTAACCGATATCTGCATTAATTGAAGAGGGAGTAATACAAAAACTGGGAGTCCACTTTCACTTATGATGAAATACAAAATTTGAATCTAGTATATGGACGATACTTTTTTTATCACTGAAATGGATAGATTAGAAAGTATTCACAACTTGATTGACAATATTTTCAATGTAATCAGAATTCATGATGAAGAAGGAGTTGAATGACAAACTGTCATTCCTTGACATCTCAATCAATAGAATCAACATAAGCAAATTTAAGGCTAATGAGTACCGGAATCCGACACATATTGATCACTGCAACAAAGCAAAAAACTAGACTGAAAACACGCTTCAGTAAAACAACTCTGCGGAACAATGAAGAGAATTACTTGATGACTACTCTATAGATTATGTATCTTCATCAGAAGATATCTGTTTAATTCAATGTCAACTACAAAATCATCGAAGGAAATCAACAAAATGGCTATTCCATCATTCGTGAAGAACATATTAGAGACAATGAACAGATTTCTGAGGCCATTTGGAATTAGTGTATCTTATAAACTAACATATTCCCTTTCAACCACATTATCTAAATCAAATAGATAAAAAAAAACCCAGAAAAGATAAACCAAATAACACCGTATTGGACAAAGTGGTCCTCCTCTTCACCTTTATTTACATTCACATCAGTTGGCGACTGAAAAAAAAACATGAAATTTCATTACTAATGCCAATACATTTGGACAACTATGGACATGAATTAGATTTTGAAAATGCAGATATGTTGGACAGAGGAAACATAAAGAATATCAGATAATTCCTAGAAGCTTAATAACATTCAGGTCAATCAACAACCAAATGATTTATAGACATTGACCTAATCTATTTATTAATCAACAAGAAAAGTGATAAACAAATACAAGACTCGATGTCTCACAGAGAAACGGCCAACAGGATAACCTGTGGACTCAGGGACACAATAATCAAAGGAAACTAGCAATCAAAAACCTCTTCATCAGGTCAGGATACCGAATGGCTCGCGATGAAATCCTGATAGCTCACTTAATACTTAAGTTATTACTCATTGCATTGTCTAGAAAAACAATGAAAACTTCACAAATAAATCATCCATTAATTTGTGTATATGTTTATCGTCGCCTCATGTAGCAGTTTCCTATATGGTCTTCTTTCTGACATTCCAGATACTGCGCCTACTTCTGTTTATATCGTAATTGATGATGGCATACAGTGCATTGACTGGCCACTGAAAAGTAACCAATTTAATGTTGCCTAGCTCACACATGTATTTCGCTCTTTGACGTCTTCTAAAACTTGAACATGTTCACTTCAACTTCATTCCTTATCATCCCATACACTTTTGCCTACTTTCATATCAGTATTTTTCTGTCCACTTGTTTTTCGCCTGCTACAGTGAAGTGTGTCACCACGTTAGTAACGCAAATGTCAGGCGTAGAGTTGTAGGGAGAAGAGGCAAATCAGTTGACATGGTTGTGAACCTTCATCGACTGAGATGGTTGGGACACGTGTTACGTATGCGTAGTTGCTATATGCCTGGTCACACAATGTTGGCCGAAGTAGGTTCCAGCTGGAAAAGGCTCGAGGTGGCCAGACTAAAACATGACATGAATGTATGAAGTTTTTGACTGTTGGTTTGAGCCATATGAGGCTATGCAGACTAGGTGGTTGGAGTCGGTGGGACAAGAGAAACGAGTGTTGTGAGACTAGGTGATGACATGGCTGAGAACTGATGTCAGTGGTACAGATGTGTGTATACTTGCATTGTCATCATCTTAACGCTATACTGAATCTCACCATCTTCCTATTTTTGTTTTCTCTCTTTTAGTACTTTACATTTGTTTTGACTGAATTTTCTTTTTTTCGTCTTCCACTTCACTGCCTTTTTATTTGATGTACTGATATGAGGTGTAGCAACCTTGACCGTTGTGCAGCAATGTCAGGAATAACAAAGCTTAGACTGTGTACTTTGACTAACCCATTCATTCCGACTGCTTCATACAATTTATGGTCGTGTAATGTGTCAAGCATCATTAACAACTAATTATCTGGAGACTTGTACGGCTCACAACGATCATTTATTCTGGAAAAATGTCTTTGTGGATACAGCTTAGTCCTTATACTTTGGCTGCACCGTGGGTCTGCTCTAAATTCAAGCATCCACCGAAATCGAATCAGTGCTGAAAATAAATCGTTGAAGGACTGCCTCACTTTCCGAAATACCTGCTTTGGACTCCGATCACGCGTTACTACGGGCGCATATATGTTTTCGTCTTATCGGTTGGAGGTTACAAATAAGAAAAACAAAGGTGTCAAAATAGTTTTATTTATAGTCGAAAACACTAGAATAGGATTATAATGCAAACAAAGTAAAGGAATAAGGGGGAGGGGTAAATGTGTGAAATTGCAAATATTCGGAATTTAAACAGCAATGTAAGTATGGATGCATTTGAACCACTGTGATTGATTTTGATTTATGACACACTAAGTTTACATCTGGTTTGGGCTGTCCTGTCTGCTTCAACTATGCTGCTCACAGTTTCTTTCAGAACTCAGCCCAACGGTTACGTACTTCACAGATTGATGCTATGCCTGACGGAAGTGAAACTTCTTAAATCTCACGTTAGCGTTGGATATTAAGACAAACAGTGCTCAACTATCCTATACTATGAATTGTATTAACCCCATTTACTGTTTCGCGAACTAGCGCACTGCATCCTGTCCTGCAGTCTTCCAGCAGGTTGTAGGGTTTCGAGGTGAATGGAAATCACTTAACACAAAACTACTAACTTCCAAAATGGCTATACATAACCTGCCTGAAGAAGATGTCTCATGGGTTGTGAGGTCACTCGCCACTATTATTAATACAATCTCTTTCTTGTACCTTGCAGAAACAGCTTCCGATATGGGCAACCAGGAAGTGTCAGTCGCCCTAACAACTGTCAGTAATCAAGTTCCTTCTGATCATTATCAGCCTTCAACATCTTTGCCTCCTGATCTTTCCTCATGTGTCCCGGTTAATATTCATCTTTAATTTATTTTAGGCTTACATCTCTCAAAAGCGACTCGTTTTTACTGAACACCATCCCTGGTCTCCTGAAACCTCACTCCAAACCACCTATTAAGTTTTTCAATATGCCCACTCTCCACCAAGCCAGATAAACTTCACTAGCCCAAACTCTGCATTTGTATGACAGGTATACAGGATTAAAGTGTGGTTATTCACTTAGCCTCACCTGGTCAGTAATGGTGAATCGACAAATTTTGGAGATTCGATGGCTAGTTCTCTTAATTTTGGAGGTGTAGGTATAGCATTAATTTCTGTGGCAGGAGCTACACCGCTCAACTGCATCCCAGTTGACATTTGTCTGTATGCTGTTCGACTGAGCGGTGGATTGGTGACTATAGACAGTAGTGAAACTTGCAGTTGTCTCTCTTTAACCTTTGCTTGTGCACTCTCTGGCTGCAGTTCGTTTGGAGTGAAGGATGAGTTCTAACGGAAACTAACCGTTCAACTATGGTTGTTGTTCCAGGTGGCTTCAATGCATGAGTGAGTAGACTGAGTCAGAAAGAAGGTCACTTGGGTTACGATTTCGGAATTCTAGCTGGACGAACAGATAACGATGGTCGCCTACTAAAACTGTCTTTAGATAAGCATTTATTTCTGGCGAGCGCAAACTTCAGACATAGAGATAATGTCTGACGTGGCGTTCACCAGCCTCAACTCACTGGTGCAGACAGATAGACCATGTCGCTATCAGTTATCACTGGTGAGGGTCGGTGGAAGATTGCCGCTCCTTCTAAAGCACGTTTGGTCAGTGATCATGCATTGGCTTAAGCATACGTATACACTTTGGTGGATGTGGTAGAGCTTTAGCAATAAGACAATTGTGAGCGCAGCTCGCCGATGAGAGTACTTAGGTTGCTTTCTGCAATACCTCTGACTAGATAATTATCGAAACAGAACATTGTCACTCAGTCACAAAAAGCCTGTCACCATCTCCAGTTTGCTGTACAAACCACTAAAGACCATAATTCACAAAAAGTTCAAAAAGCGCCAGTTGATCTCAACAGTATCTTCAGAATTAATCCATGCACCTGAACTTATCCCTGCAGACAACAAACACGACGAGGAGAGGAAACAACTGTAATGTAGACTGATAAAGAATAACCAGGAGGACTAGTGATTGGCGAAGGCTAGAGAAATGGAAGAGGTGACGGTGATATGTAACAGCAAACAGCTATTTGACGTGATCAAGGGAACTGGGGCAAAATTTCAATGGTCAGTGAGAGTAAAGCATGGAAGGATTAGTTTGCTATTTACTTGCAGGAGAGATGACTGTAACGATGAGTGGGATACGTGGAGGAACAGTCGAACTGGCCTCCAGCTACTATCACGTTGCCTGTGACCCAGTAATTGGAGACAGATGTGATCCGCTTTGTCTTGCACATACTCATGATTGTTTGTATCTGGAATTGACGTTGTGAGCGTGGGATCCTTAGTAGACTTAGAGTATAGAGACGACACATTCGTGTCAGGTGAGTACGCTGCCGAGGTGTAGAGTTGTCTAGATACTGAAAGACAATTCGAGGATTTTAAGGATGCGTTCGTTGTCGCCAAATGCGAATTGTTGTTTTTGGAGTTGTGTTGATGGGAGAGTTGTTTGACGATAGGGAGTGAAGTGATTGAGCGCGTTGATGACTTTTCTTACTTATTTATTAAGTGTGATGAGTGAGTGAGTGACTGGTGATATGTGTGTATGGATGGAGAAGGTCGACTTGGCTTTCACGGAATGATGTCATTTATTGTGCCGCTGTGATATCTGACTTCTTGTGGAGGAGGGATTGTAGTGCAGTGAAGTTCTGTATTTTCTACCAATTGAGTGTGAAGAATGTTGATTGAAGGGTTGGTGTGTCTGATGACCACTTGCTTTGTAGGATATTGTGTGTCATGGTGGGACCGATGGAGTGAGGTGGTAGAGGTGGGGCGTAGCGTTTTAGGTAGAGAAGGAATGTTAGTTGGCGAGTGTGTAAACCATCGTCAACTTAGATGTGTGAGAAATGTGAAACATGTTTATACACGGTTTGCTTTGTTGGCCAATGTCAAGATTGAATGGTGAGAAGATGGTCGGGTCGGGCAGACTGAAGCATGCTTGTTTGTGTTCATGAAATCTCTGAGTGTTAATCTGAGGCACGCAATTAGTTATCTCAGCAGTTGTTACGTTAAGGTCACCTTTAATATCACTCATTAGTATAAATTCTGGTAAAAAGGTAGTATCATGTTGATTATCTGAGATAGCCGTGGTTTGGCAGATCAATATTTATACTGTGTGGTGATTAGAGGTGAAATGAAAATTTCTACCGCGGCATGATTCGAACCAGCGACCACTGGGTTTTCAGCTGGATGCTCTACCAGCTGATCTATGATGCTCCCCTTTCTGTTTCAGTTAGATTTGGATTGGGATGAGAAGTTGTGACCGGGCAGGGTGGTAGCCATTGTGAATACTATCAAGCGGTAGTAATCTGTCACGAATTCACACGTTAGTCGGGCAAAACCCTGGATGATTGTAATGAACCAAAACCTGGTCAGCAGTCAAATCCCGTATCTCAATCGGTAGAACATTAGGCCAGAAAGTTAGTGGTCGCTGGTTTGAATCCGATAGCGGTCTAAATTTTCATTTCACCAATAATCATCCATTATAAAAAATATTAATTCCATAGGGTAGGAAATAGTTATATTTTGATAATGATTTCACTGCTAGTACCCATTGTTGTAAGAAATAGCATTGGGTAGATTGGTTTATCTAGACAATAGAATATTTTACGGTGCTTCATATTGACGTTACATTATGTCTGATATTCCAAAGGTTTGGGAAATGTTGTTGTTATGAAGAAAAAAATAAAGATGGATTGAATAAACTTCCATGTATGACGTATGTATTGAAATTCAGGCCATGGAGTGGAACTTAAAGGGGAAAAGACGAGTTGGGCGTCCGAGGGTGACATGGAGGAGATTGTGTGAGGAAGAAATGAAAGTTGTGGAGGCAGTTTGAAAAGACTGCAGACTGGAGACTTGTTACTGAGGTCCTATGTTTCACTAGGAACCTAAGGGAAAAATGTAATGTTATATATATATGTATATATATAAGTCACCATTTTGTGTTTTAATTGTTAAATATCTCTTCATATAGGACTTTTATTCTTGGTTTGGGTGATCCAAATATTATAGTTGAGCCTCCAAGTGAAGAACATGATGGCTCAGCTATATTAGCCACCTTTTGTGGAGTAATAATCATTTGCGGGATTATTGGCAGTGTTTATGGAATACGTCGTATACGAACACGTTATCATAGAATTCCAGAGGTGAATACAACTAATGATGGATTTATTGATAATATTCCAAATGATAGTTTTGTTGAACCATACCAGTATGAGAAATTAGTTCAACCACCGAGTGATGATAAATCAAGAGGTACTTATACGAATGAAGTTGGTCGTGGACAATCAGCATCTACTATCATTTTAGATCGTCCACCAGATTATGGATCAATTTCTTTAAGACCGGATGAGCATCACTACTAAAGTTTTCACAATAAATTTCTCATATACTATCATTTTCTCATTGTTTCTTTTGTCTGAAATCAACTATTCCATCAGATTAATTTGATAGTTTTACATCATCATAAATTTTTGTAATGGTTATTGAATAAATTACCTGATCATGGTATGTTTCAATAATATTGTGATTTCATTTTTTGATAGTGAGGTTGTTTTGCAACTAGAAATGATAGTCCTTCAACATATACAATAATACAGTAACTATAAGTATTTATACTGGATGATGATTGAAGATGAAATGAAAATCTGGACCTCAGTCGAGTTCGAACCAGCTACCACCGGGTTACCGGCTCCAGTATCCTAGTCTGCTAAACTAAGGCTATCTCATTGTGAAAAAAACAAAACACATGCTTCACCAAAAACCTAAACACTGCATCATTTTGTTTACTAATTTACATGTGTGTGTGTGTGGTCACACATACATATAGAGGAGAAATTGAGTCTTACGGTTGATGGTGGGAGAACATTTGCTTAAATAGCTTCGAAAGCAAACAGAGTATGAAATAGTGATAAACGCTGGTGGGAGACGACCCTCTTCATCTATAGTTAGACGTATCATAGAAACAGGTCACAAAGTTAATGTTCAAACAGCTCTCAAAGTTGTATATAGAAACAGTTAGGGACGTATTCTGAGATTTAGAGAAGCTATACACAAATTTAAACCACATTTGTGTACAAAAACAATTTGTTCTTACACTACACCTACCTTGGTAAACTTTGTTTTCTTATCAAGATTAGGATCAACTATGTCACTTCCTGTTTGTTCTCATCTTTCCTAATTTTAATCCCCTGTTGTGTTAATTGTTGTATTTGTCCTACCACTCCTCGGTTTAATATGTATATCTCAGATAGTCAAACTGATGATCAATATGATACTTCCCTTCTCTAATTCAGTTAGATGTGGATTACGATGAGAAGTTGTGACTGGGCATGGCAGCCAGTGTGAATACAATCAAGCGTTAGTAACGCGTCAAGAGTTTATATGGTAGTGGGGAGAAACACTCAGTGACTGAAGTGAAATAAAAATCTGGTCAGTTGGTTCTAGTCCGGCCGTGATTCATATTTTCATTTCACCTTCGATCATCACCCTGTATAAATACTAGTCTGCCAAACTACGTCTATCTCAGATAGTCAAAATGATAAACGCAGTTATATCTAACCTCTAGTATCTATGATAATTGTTTGGTTTTCTCCAAGCTTTAAGGTTTGCCCTTAGACGTTTCATCATCAGGCTCGATGACTTCATATGCAGTCATCTAGCGTGATGATGAAACATCTAATGAACAAAGCTCGAAGAACACTAAGCAATTATCATCGTAATCCTGAATTACAAATCTCTACTGGTATCTGTGTTACACTTTTCATGGTTGATGGAACCGCATTGCTTTGATGTTTGAGTCTATGCTTTTAGGTGAGCTTTTACTATCCTAGACAACCTTTCAATCTAATTGAATAATAAGTAAGATAATCAGTTGAAGATGTAGCATGAAACTATGAAGCTGTTGATTCTGAATTTCACCAGTGCCTAAGGTATATCAGTGTTTCATATTATTGTTTTTCAATTAGTAGCAATCAAGAGCAATAGGATCAATGAATTGTTGTAGAATGTGTTTCAAAACTTAACGTAGTTAATTCTTTTCATATCTATTTAGTTATTTCAAGTTGATATTCACATCATAGACTGGAGGCATTGGATATTTATTTCTTCCTAGTATGGGACTCCTCAGCTATGCGCACCCATGATCTTTTTTAAAAACTCTTGTCATCATCTCATCAGTGTGTTTAGCAGTGGTATTCATGAAGTAGGAAATTAGTACTTCAATCTCACTGATCTCTTTGTTGCATTATTGAGCGTAATATTTACAACCAAACCACCTGATGAAAGTGTCAACATGATTTCAGTCATAGTTAGTGAACTCATCTGCTTTACATCTTTGGTAGACTACTCTACGACGTTTTTCTCATTCTGAATGGTACTCATGTGAGAGACACCTGTAAAGGAAAAAAAACATAGGATAATTATATTTCAATGGATTATTTATCATACTTTGGAAGTGAATCATAGGGACGTTTTTGTTTACATATTTTTAAACTTTCTTTCTTATATATTAATCCTTTCGAAATGTTTTACCTCTCAGAAATAATCGTAATTTAACTGCAGTCTATTTTACTTCTTATTTAGCCTAGATAGTTTAGTAAATATTGTCTGTCTTGGATTTCTAGTTTTGTCTGATGGGAATAATTTATTTGAATAGGTTGTCTTAAGGTAAGTGTATTGCTTTTTATCCAATGCTAATTCAGTTATATGCATCATTGACGTGTATGGTTCAAGTTTATTGTCTGACGAACCAACAAGTTGATTTCAGATAATCCAAGCTATGTATTGTGAATTCTATCAACATCTATGTTTAAGTGAATCGTCAACTATGCTTTTATCTGAAGTATGTTTTCACCATTTTAATAGGTGATACTTAGAGGCTTCATCAAGTGAGCAAATTGTTTCTACAGTTAGGAAGCGACTGCATAATCATAGGGTATGTAACAAAGATATACAGTTGATCCCGGTGATGATTAATAGGTTAGGCAATAATAATACAAATAGTAATTCATAATCGGAGTAAAACATTACGAAGATTTTAATGGGAAACTAGAACTAATCCGTATAGACAGACGTATAAAGGTAAACTATGAAGTAAAAACACTGACCAGTCAATAAGAATGAGACGAATACTGAAGCAAGAGAAAAAAAATCAACTAAGGATTATGACTGTGGCATAATAATAGATTGAACGCACCTCTTCTGTACACAAGGCTCGGGCTTCAATTGTTGGATGCCTAAATGATGAGTCTGCACTACTTTTAAGCCGTTCGGTCCGACTTTGCACAAGAGTTTGAAATGCTTTAGACAGCCAAGCATAGTATTGCTTTGAGATGTGTTTGGCAAGATCGTGTGCTCCAAATAACCAGCTCCACAAGAGCAGGTAAACTGAAGGATGCATCTGGATGTGTTCCAAAGCGACAGTCTATCCTTCACGAGTCCTTGAATCAACTGGAAGAAACCGTTCAGACTTCGACAGCATAGTGTTTTCTTTATTGCGTTAGAAAGGTAATGCTTCTGTAGTTCTGCGTTTATGCCTTTAAGTTCAATATTCATGAAAAAAACTTCTTAGGAACAGTAAGAAGATTCTCTTATCGCTGTTTTACCTTCATGTTTTTTGTAAGGAATCTTGGAAGGTAGTCGTTCTGAAGATGTTTCGTGTCTTTGACGATTGTGTTATCTGTGCAAAGCAAATGAAGTATGTTCATTTCTTGACTCATTAGTACTCCATTTTGAGAATGAGGATATGGCTAATCCTTAGTCGGTTTTCTATAGATTGTTCTAGAAGGCTATCAAGTTACTCTCAACTTACATCATGAAAGTGATCGAGAGATGATACTCACTGAACCTCAGAAGAGTGGGGTCAATATTCTCATGTCAGTTGACGAAGGTATCATCCATGTATTTCCTGTGTAGATGCAACAAGCCGATGATTGGACGTAGTATGATGTTTTCTAAATTAACCATGAACCAATCCGCTAGAGGAACGCCCATTGATAACCCCACAGCTACTCCAACGTTTCGTCGATAAAATTCATCATTGAATTTGAACTGCATTAAAAGTGTATTAGAGAAGTAATATTCTTGGGTAATGAATTAGAACGCCTATTACTAGAGTGTTAGTTTTTATGTAGTTAGATAAGAAACAAGTGGGTTTTTATGAGCACCATCCAAAGACGTCATTCGGGTCCAAGATACATGGAGGTTAGTTATTGAGTAAAAAAAATCAAGTATATTTATGAATCCGAATGCTCACTGGTTGATGAATTCCAGTCATCCACACGGGAATAGCATACTATGGGGAATTATTATCTAATATTGAAAGGAGAAGGACATCCTTCTAGTGTGCCTGTGGGAGGTCATAAAGTCACACGATTTAGTGCGTCGAACAGAAGACTACTAATGATTGACTATTTTCTTATCTTATTGAGGATATTGGCCGGCTTCTGTTCAGTTATATCTTCTAAACAATTCCTTTTGATATGCTTGAATACAACCTGGTAAGAGAGATGTCATTGGGTATTCTGCTAGTAGGATGCCGCATACATAAACCTTAGAGTATACTACTTCAGCTGAGTAGTTGGTTTCACCTAGATTGTACATAACCGTGTAATCATTTAATAAAGAACAGTACTCTAATTTATGCTGGCTACTGAAGTTCATAATGAATAGTAAGGGCAATTCAAGTTTTTTTTATTTATTTAGGATGTAGCATAGTCAATAGTTATTCATTAATTTGAACAACACTAAATTTCACTACTGCAGTAGTTGAATTGACAAATTAGGTTCCTTTATTTTACAAAAGAGACAGACTGTACCAACCGAAATACAAAAACCTAATTGGCTATTTGACGATTGGATTGGATGACCTTCGCGATGTTCAGGACACTTATCTGATCTTGAATAAAAGCTAAGATATAACAAGTGAGCTTAAGAATGTTTATCAAACAATTAGCACTATTCGTACAATATCATTGAACTTAAGTATTTTTCATAGATAGAACCAATGGAGAGCAAGCTGATACTTTGATGAGACAAAATGAAGGCGTTTATGCTTTATACGACTATCTGAAATAAATGTAGTGTTAAAGACCAGTGCTACTAGTACTGGATGATGATTGAAGGCGAAATGAAAACCTTGGTCGTAATAGAATTCTAAGCAGCGGCAAAAAAACATGATTAAGGGTTGGCTTGAAATGAATTGGAGTTACTGATCAATTATTTCAGGCTAAGATTAGCTTAAAGACTGATCTTCCGATTTCTCTGTCGTATGAAAATCGTAGAAACAGCTAACTGTTTTCATCACTTATTGATGACGTTCATTATTCGCTGCAATTTCCCTATCGCTTTATACTCTTCACATTGTAATCTGTTTGATGGCTAGCAGTAGAATCCAGGACGCATGTCTCGCCCAATTTATGACTTGTCAGCTGGATGTATCTGCCTTCCAGCAAGTGATTTTTTTCCTATTAAAATTCGAACCCAGGATTGATTTGATTTGATCTCCATTCAGCCATAAAAC